CTCCTCACATCTAGAAAAGTAATAAAATCCTTCATGGCGATGACTGTTCCTTATGACTAGCAAAATCTTCAGGAGACTAGCAGAAATCTTCTGGAAAGATATGTGCATGACTGCATGTATTCCCCCTTCACCAAAATCTCATATATACTGACCTTCCCTGCTGCTTCTTTGGAGCAGTTTCTCAGAGTTATCTGAGGTGCTGTACCACGGACTGTAGTCCTCATTTTGCCTCCAATAAAGCTTAACTTGAAACTCTCACATTGTGCACTTTTTCTTTTAAGTAGACACCTTTGAGTTGTTCTACAGGAAGCAAGGTTTGTTTTATTTCCAGTCTCTGTGTCTCTGGACTTCCACAATTGTATCCAAAGCCCTTCAGGTGGAGATGTCAGGCACTCTAATCCCCAAGGTATGTGCCTGTTTTTTCATTGAGAGGTCTCCTAGGTGGCCAGGAGATTTGGCCTTTAATTGCCCAAGACCCCACTGACATCTAACAAACTGTGGAAAATTCTTACAGAGATGGAAATTCCAGACGACCTTACCTGCCTCCTGAGAAATCTGTATGCAGTTCAAGAAGCAACAGTTAGAATCAGACATGGAATAACAGACTCGTTACAAATTGGGAAAGGAGTAAGTCAAAGCTGTATATCATCACCCAGCTTATTTAACTTATATGTGGAGTACATCATGTGAAATGCTGGGCTGGATGAAGCACAAGCTGGAATGAAGATTGCTGGGAGAAATATCAATAACCTCAGATATGCAGATGACACTACCCTTATGGCAGAAAGCAAAGAGGAACTAAAGAGTCTCTTGAACAAAGTGAAAGAGGAGAGTGAAAAAGCTGGCTTAAAACTCAACATTCAAAAAGTTAAGATCATGGCATCTGGTCCCATCACTTCATGGCAAATGGATGGGGAAGCAGTGGAAACAGTGACAGACTTTATTTTCTTGGGCTCCAAAATCACTGCAGATGATGACTGCAGCCATGAAATTAAAAGACACTTGCTCCTTGGAAGAAAAGCCATGACCAAACTAGACAGCATATTGAAAAGCAGAGACATTACTTTGCCAAAAGAGGTCTGTCTAGTCAAAGCTATGGTTTTTCCAGTAGTCATGTATGGATGTGAGAGTTGGACTATAAGGAAAGCTGAGCGCCAAAGATTTGATGCTTTTGAACTGTGGTGTTGGAGAAGACTCTTGAGAGTCTCTTGGACTGCAAGGAGATCAAACAGTTAATCATAAAGGAAATCAGTCCTGAATATGCATTGGAAGGACTGATGTTGAAGCTGAAACTTCAGTTCTTTGGCCACCTGATGTGAAGAACTGACTCAGTAGAAAAGACCCTGATGCTGGGAAAGATTGAAGACAGGAGAAGAAGGGGACAACAGAGGATGAGATGGTTGGATGGAATCACTGACTCAATGGAAATGAGTTTGAGCAAGCTCCAGGAGTTGGTTATGGACAGGGAGGCCTGGCGTGCTGCAGTCCATGGGGTCACAAAGAGTCAGACATGACTGAGTGACTGAACTGAACTGATTGACATCTTGTGTGAAGGAGTGTGCCTGAGGCTGAGGGAATGGAGTCTTTAGGAGCTGGAAGGAAATGGTTTAGGGCTGCACTCTGCAGTCCTGGAATCCTTGCCATCGCCTAGCTCTGAGACTGAAGAAGGAACCCCGAAGGAGTCAGAGACACAGACATCAATTATTGGACAGAGAATCTTATAAATCAGAGCAAAGGACCTGGAACGATCCCCCACTGAGTACCAATTGCAGAAGGCATGACATAGCTGCAATCCCCATTACACAGGGGAGGAGGAGGCTACTAGTTGCAGTGGTCATGATGTCAAAAGGGCTCCTTGGATGCCAGGGGAACTTGTAACTCACCTCTCCCACAGCTCTTTGGGTAGGCAATCGTTGCAGGCAGTCACTGTTTCCTGTGGATGATTGAACAGGCTGGAGCTGTTCTGGTTAGAGGACTAGAAACATTATTAGCTTGATCATGCAGGCTTCCTAGGTGGCTCATTGGTAAGGAATCTGCCTGCCAATGCAGGAGTGGAAGGAGACATGGGTTTAAACCCACTCCAGTACTCTTGCCTGGAAAATCCCATGGACAGAGAAGCCTGGTGGGCTACAGTCCATGGGGTTGCAAAGAGTAGGACACAACTGAGCACGAACATGCACACCAGCTCATCATGCAGGTAACTGCTGATTAAACTTTCACCTTATACATATACATAAGGGAATATTACTTAACCATTAAAAAACAACGATCTGCAGCACACATGAATGAACCTAGAGACTGTCATACTGAGTGAAGTAAGTCAGATAGAAAAAGAGAAATATCTCATGATATCCCTTATATGCAAAATCTTAAAAAAATGATACAAATGAACTTAATTACCAAACAGAAACAGATTCATAGACTTAGAGAAAGAACTTATTGTTACAGGGACTGGGATGGGTAGTTTGGAACTTACATGTACACACTGCTATATTTAAAATGGATAATCAACAAGGACCTACTGTATAGTGCAGGGGAACTCTGCTTAATACTCTGTTATAATCTAAATGGGAAAAGATTTTGAAAAGGAGTGGATACAATATATGTATAACTGAATCACTCTGCTTTACTCCTGAAGCTATCATAATATTGTTAACCAACTTCATTCCAATATAAAATTAAACACATTTGAAATAAAATAACTTTCACTTTAGGAAGGGGAGATAACCATGCAGATAATGTAAGGGTGAGGCAGGGCCAGATTGGGTAGGGGATATACAGAAGCAAGAGAGGAGCCATCATATGGGGCCTGACCATACAAGTGGATAATAGGATAGTGGGGCCTTGACAGGTGCAAAGAGGAAGCAGCAATTCTGCTGGAAGGGAGTTGCGCAGCCCCCTTCTGGCTTCCTAGTGAGGCTCCAGGGCATCCAACAGCTACACGTCCACCAAGGAGCACAGTCCCAGGAACACCTCTTATACCTCTTTGAGAACGGCTGAAGGAGAAGTGTGTTCTAGTTTTGTTCCTGCTGTGTGACATTGGGAGCTTCCCCAGTGGCTCAGTGGTCAAGACTCTACCTGCAATGCAGGAGTTGCAGGAGACTCAGGTTTGATCCTTGGGTTGGGAAGATCCCTTGGAGGAGGCATGGCATGACATACCATACCTTGGCATGGCAACCCACTCCAGTATTCTTGCCTGGAAAATCCCATGGACAGAGGAGCCTGGCAGGCTACATGCAGTCCACAGGGTCACAAAAAGTTGAACACAACTGAAGTGACTTAGAATGCATGCATGTGACATTAGACAAGGCCTCTCACTCAGGGGGCCTGAAATTGCACTTGTGTATAATGAAGAGGTTATGCTAGATGAGAGAGGGAAGGGGTTATCAGAATGGGAGGAAGGTGTGCAATTACAAAAGCATATTAAAAGATTAGGTGAAATCTGGAGCTTAGTTAATACATTAATGCGAGTTCTTAGTTTTTATGAAAAATACCCTTATATCATTTTTTTTTCCATTTATTTTCACTAGTTGGAGGCTAATTACTCTACATCATTGCAGTGGTTTCTGTCATACACTGAAATGAATTAGCCATGGATTTACATGCATTCCCCATCCCGGCCCCCCCTCCCACCTCCCTCTCCACCCGATCCATCTGGATCTTCCCAGTGCACCAGGCCCGAGCACTTGTCTCATGCATCCAACCTGGGCTAGTGATCTGTTTCACCCTAGATAATATACATGTTTCGATGCTGTTCTCTTGAAACATCCCACCCTTGTCTTCTCCCAGAGTCCACAAGTCTGTTCTATACATCTGAGTCTCTTTTCCTGTTTTGCATATATGGTTATCGTTACCATCTTTCTAAATTCCATATATATGTGCTAGTATACTGTAATGGTCTTTATCTTTCTGGCTTACTTAACCCTTATATCTTTTTTTTTTTCCATTTATTTTTATTAGTTAACCCTTATATCTTAATGTTAACAATGGGGGAAACTAGGAGATAATTTTGTGCTATTTTGGCAACTTTTCTGTAATGTAAAATTAGTTCCAAAATAAAATATTTCTTTAAAAAGATGATTGTTTTAAATTCTATTCATGTGTTCATTTATTCCATAAAGATTGATTGCCAATTGTGTGTCAGGCACTGGGTACATATTATTAGTGACCATAAGCCATGGTTTTACCCCCTGTGGAGTTTACACTCTAGTGGTAATTTGGCAGGAATAGTATACTTACTGCTTTTTTAAAAAATCGAACCTGAACTACAAAGTGTAATAGCTTAAGGAAATCTTGGCTGATGAGATATATAGAAGCAGAATCCTTGCTCTATCAGTTCTTAGTCATGTGACCTTGGCAAAGCTAACTTTACCTTATCGTGTATGTTTCTTCAGTGGTAAAATGGAGCAAAAAAATAGAGTCCCTATTTTACAGTGCTTGGTATGCATTAAAGCACTTAATAAATTGCTAGTTATCATTATAACAATTATTTAAAAGACAGTGATTTGCAACGCGGCTATGGGGAAGCGTAGTACAGACAGGGAGCAAGACATTTTTGTCAAGAAAGACTTGGATGTGAAAATACGACGTTGCTTCCAGCAGTGACGGTAACAGCCGTGAGTTTAAAAGCAACAGCCCCGCCCCTCCCTCGCAGTCTGGCCCACTCCAGTCAAGTTCCGCCCCTCCCTCGAGTTCCCTCCGGTAGCGCACTCATTCCCCGCCCCCAGCCCCGCCCCTTTCCTCCTCAGGCACCGCCTTTATCCTCTGAAGGCGGGGCTTGACGCCCACGCGTGAAGCGAGGGCCTAAACGAGGAACCTCTAGGGGGCGGGGCCGGGAGAGCTCTGTCCAATCCCTGGCCCCGAAATCTCAGATCCGGAGGGGGCGGGGCACATTGGGAAGTGGCCGCATTTAGCTTTGCATAACCAATAAGGGCAGCTATTTAACAGAGTCGTCGCCTCCACGAACCTGCAGTTAACCAGGCGAGCACCCACCCTTTACGATGAACCCCCTGTTGCAGGCTCCCTTCCTGATCTCTCTGGGCTTGCTTCTTGCCGGCCCAGCCCTTCCTGCACGCATTCTCCAGAACCGGGTGAGTGCTCTCTCCTTTAGGAGGCTGCTGCCAGCATCCCTGCCGAGCTCGGGCTGTGCGGCTTAGGGTGGGATAAGGAGGTGGACTCTCCGGTCTCTGGAATTACTTTTTTTTAGTAGAACTTCCCAAGGTCACTAATCGTGGGACTCTGAGTGGGTCCTTTTTTCTCTCTGAGCGTTTCAGTTGGGTTTAGGTTTCCCTATGTGGACAGAGGGTGGGCTGTAAGGCCTTGCTCTGCTCCAGACTGTTTTGGAAGGATTAATCTCACTGTCTCCTGTACTTTCCTGTCCTCTTTCCAAATGTCTGAGTGAAATTTTGTAGAATTGCAAGACCAATTCTCTACTCCCAGGCCCAGAGGCTTAGCCCCATTTACATGTCCCCTCTTTTACCCCATGAGAAGGCCTGGCACCCAACTGCTCCCCTCTGTACTTCTCTGAGGCACTGCCTGTTCTGGTGGGTGGGTGGTTCTGAGAGGCTCTTCAGGCCAGAAGGTCCCGACTTGCTCCTCTGGCAACAAAGCTGCAACCCTGCTCCGGGGCGTGAGTCATGGAGAGGCTCCAATCTACAAATTTCCCCCTTGTCTTCTCAGTCACATGCTCCAGACCCTTGGGAAAGGGAAGTTCTGTCATTCTGAGTAGAGAAGCCTAATTCCATGGCCTCTGCTGTACAACTAGGGGTCAGACACTTGATATCTTTGGCATCAAAGAGAGAGGCCCAGCCTAGGTACCCTCCCTCCAACCAGCTTGGAAATGTCTGTCAGAGCCAGGAATAGGGTGGTATGGGGGAAAGAGGACTAGGACTAGGAGGCTTTGCTTCTGATCCCTTCTCTGTCTCTAATCCATGGGTTCCTTAAGCCTTGGTCTCCTCATCTGTAAAATGGGCTTGATAATACCAGCCTGCCTTTCTCAGTGGTTGTGGATGAAGGGAAATGCTTCCCTGGATGGAAAAGCTCTTAAATCTTAAACTCAGAGAGTGATAGAAGCCAGTGTGCTCACCCTCCCCAGGGGCAAAGAGTCTATTTTGCCAATTGAATGGAGGAGCAAAGAGCTCTTGGCTTTATTGTCCCAGAGAATTCACAGTTAGTCTGAGTGTAGGCTGAGAATGTTTCTCTGGGCTCCAGATCTGACCACTATGGGGTGGAATCCAGCTAAGGCTGGAACTTCCCCTGTGTCCCCACTCCCCTGCATATCTTGACTGTGAATGCCATCCCAGACCAGAATGTCTTAGGTTGGCAGTTTTGGAGAGGCCATGAGACATCAGGGAGTTAACCCACCTTACCCAGCCCCAGGGAGGATGGTGCTCATCTGAGATTCCACAGTAAGGGGTACTTCTTTCCATCCTTATCTTCTATCATCTGGGTTTTCTATGGGCTCATGTGATTTGGAACCCTGACCCTGAGACCCTGGGCCACATGAAGGCTTGGGGTGACAACAAGCAGTGGGCATCAGGAAACCAGTTTGAGTTTCAGTTCCTCTTCTAGCATTAACTGGGTCTCATGGCCCTAGGTTGTGGTGAGCCTTAGATAACAGGGGAGATAGTCTTTTCCCAGATTGGGCATACAATAGGTGCTTAATAGACTCTCTGATACTGTCTGATATCATTTACTGTGCACACACTATGTGCTGTGTGTTGAGCCATATGCTTTTTTCCCCCTAATAAGCTTATTTTAGGGGAATAATTCTAGACTTATAGAAAAGTTGCAAAGAAAGTATAGAGTTCCCACATACCCTTCACTTGGTTTCCCCTGCTAACATCTTTTTATCACAGTGGGGCTTCTCCGGTGGCTCAGTGGTAAAGAAACCACCTGTCAATGCAGGAGATGCAGGTTTGATCCCTGGGTCAGGAAGGTCCCCTGGAGGAGGGCATGGCAACCCACTCTAGTATTCTTGCCTGGAAAATCCCATGACAGAGGAGCCTGGCAGGCTACAGTCCATGGGGTCACAGAGTTGGACACGACTGAAGCAATTTAGTACTCATGTACACATGCACTGGACTTCTCTGGTGGCTCAGACGGTAAAGAGTCTGCCTATAATGCGGGAGACCTGGGTTCAATCCCTGGGTCGGGAAGATCCCCTGGAGAAGGAAATGGCAACCCACTCCAGTATTCTTGCCTGGAAAATCCCATGGATGGAGGAGCCTGGTAGGCTACAGTCCATGGGGTTGCAGAGAGTCGGACACAACTGAGTGACTTCACTTTCACAGATTCATTACCATGGTATGTTTGTCAAGACTGAGAATCCAACAGAGGTACGTTCAGTTCAGTTCAGTTCAGTCGTTCAGTTGTGTCCGACTCTTTGCGACCCCATGAATTGCAGCACACCAGGCCTCCCTGTCCATCACCAACTCCCGGAGTTTACTCAAACTCATGTCCATTGAGTCAGTGATGTCATCCAGCCATCTCATCCTCTGTCGTCCCCTTCTCCTCCTGCCCCCAATCCCTCCCAGCATCAGGGTCTTTTCCAATGAGTCAACTCTTTGCATGAGGTGGCCAAAGTATTACCACTAGCTAAACTCTTAGACTTACATTTGGATTTTACCAGTTTTCCCACTGATGTCCTCTTTCAGACTAGGATCTAGTCTGGGGTACCACGTTGCATGTGTTGTCCTGTTGCCCCCATCTCCCCTGGTCTGTGACAGTTGCTCAGTCATGTGTTTTCATGGCTGTGACAGTGTTGAGGAGTTGGGACCTGGAGAATTTGTATACTTTCTGTTTACAAATGTCTCACTTACTGGAGTAGCCCTGTGAGAAGATGTAATTATGCCCACTTATTACATGAGAAAATAAGAGCCTCAAGAGAGATCACCTTACCCCTGTTCTCAGCTAGCAAGAGTGGCTGCAGTGTGGTTTTAATCCAGGTCTGTGACTTGCATCCATATTTCTGCATCCACAGCTATACCTTTGCCCTCTTCCATATGCTGCTTCTTCCCATATGTTAGGCTGGGCTGGGATGACAGATATATGGTGCCAGGTCTGCCCTCAGTGGGCACTGCTAAGGCATCATATCTCCTTTTCCTGATGAGCCTGGACTTGGCTGCAGAATTCATTATGACAGAAGCCTCTAGTCAGTCATCAAGAAATCACTTTGTTAAGTCTCCCCAGGGGCTGGGGGAAGGAGAAGCGGGACACTTTGGACACTTCAACCTGGAATCAGTCCTCACAGTGAGTCAGGCTGCCTTGGTATCTATGAAAGCAGCTCTAGAAAATGGCCAGTCCGCCTACCCACTCTCCAGCCCAGCTCTTAGTGCCAGGCACTCTTTCATTTGCTATTGGCTTCCTAACTGGTCTCCCCTTACCAAACAGGACCCTCTGCAATCCATTCTCAACCATAAACCAGAGCAGGGCACTCTCCTACAATGGCATTCCATTGCATTTATAGGAAATCCAGCCTCCTGAGGATGACCTATGAGGTCTTGCATTTATTAAATGACCCTGCCACCATTCTACCCTTATCTAGGTGCCTCGTCTAGCCCACTGGCCTTGTAGGGCCCAGAGCAGTTGAGTGTCTTCCCAACGCAGGGCGCATGTACCTTTGCTCGTGTTCCCTCTGCCTGAACATTCTTTCAGTACATGCATGACTGGCTCCTCATCTTACAGGATTGTCCCTTCTCAGCACCCTATTTAAGTGAGTCCTTTGTTACTCTTAACATGACCCTCTGTTTGTTTCATTTATGGCACCCAGAGACCATAGTGGGTAATATTTATTTACATTAGACTGTAAGCTCCTAACTGCAGGGCAGGCACATCTCTAATTGTTTACCTCTATGAATAGCACTTGGCCCTGGGCTTGTGATCATTGCTCCATAAATATCTGTGGAATGAACACTGAAGGAAACATTTGTTGGTACCTACTCTAAGGGGCTGTGGGGAACACAGGGATGAATCAGGCCTTTCTTAGTCATGGTCTGATGCTTCATTCCAAGGAACCAAAGCCCATTCCAGGAAGCTCAGGTAAAGGGAAGTTTATTCCAGGTATACAAGGAATCTCATGGAACTAATGGCAGGAAGCAGGGGCTGGGATGTCTAATGGCTATCATTTAGGGAACCAGCTCATGCTTTGTGTCTGGCATTGGGTTATGAGCTTTATGTATTACATGCAGCACTGAGTGTCACGGTCTGAGAGGAAAGCAGAAATGACTCCACTTAAAAGATGAGGATACTGCAGCTCCAAAGGGGAAACTGGCCTACAGAATCACATGATATGGTGGTCAAGCTAGGATTTCAAGCCATGTCTACTAACTAAAGCCTTGATATACCCCATGTCTCACTCTAGAAACTTGTTCTTGGCTACTCTCCTGCACTGCCTATTTAGATAGGGGGCAGGGGCAGGGGCAACTCTATCTGTTCTCTTTTCTACAGACCAGCAGAGCCCTTAGTTCTTGACCCTTTGACTTGGTCATGAGTCTGTGTTCTGGCTCCATCTTCAAGTTTATGACCCCATGACCGCTCAAAGTCCAAAATCCTCTGAGTGATTTTGCCTCTGTCTCACTCCCCAAATTGGAGGCAGAGAGAATTTCTCAGCCTAGTCTCTGTTAGGTGTTGTCTTCTGGTCCACCTCCCTGTGGCTGCGTTGATGATGGAGGTTGACTTGGGGATGCGGGGACTGGCAGGTTTTCCTTCTAAGATGGGATGTGCGTGGGGGGAATACTGAAAGTCTCTTGTAGATGGCCTACAGGGGGCTGGGAGAAGTGCGAGTGGGTGGGTGGAGCCTGCAGGGTGTGGGGAGTGTGGTTACAGACAGGGTTCCGTGGGTGGGGGGTCAGTGGTCATTTGCAGTTGGACATGATGGTGGAGTCAGGAATCAGGAGACCTCTTGGGGGATGTGGAGGAGGAGGAGTAGGATATGGCTCAGCAGAGGGGAGGGGGATGACTTGGGGTGTGGGACCAGGCAGGGCATGAGCAGTGGGATGGGAGTAAAAATGCACTGGTTAAGATTGGGAAGTTTGTTCACTAGGGATTGTTCATCAACAGGTGGCCCCCTGGGGATCTTTTCTTGTGTGTCCTAGTCCCTCTCTGAATTAACCGTCCCTCCTTGAGGGTGCGGTGTTCCATGCTGTTATGTTCCCCGTTGTTTTGTGTTCCTTACTGTTCCTGGTCCTGGATTGGGCCCGAGGTGTGACATGAATCAGGTTCTGGGCATGGGCTGTAAAGGTGAATCCTCCAAAAACTTCCCTCTGAGAAGATGCCAAGACTAGCAGGAGAGGTGGGTGGAATAGGGAGGTGAGGGATCAGAGAAGGTGGATATGGCTAGTCTCCTATTCTGAAGTTCAGGGTCTGTGACATTGTCCTCTACAGTTCATGGCACACATTTGGGAGATTGTCTTTTAAGTCTTTTAGTTGAGTCCTGCCTACAAAATGGGTAGGACCAGAGTTATCCTAGGTTTACAGATATGGAGTTGCAGATGAAGCTCAGAGCCATTAGGTACCTCATCCATGGGCACATAGTCAGTAACCGCTCTGTTAATTCTTCTAACCTTTTGTCAGCTTATTTCTTTCCTTGCTGCTATATTGTCCTTGGCTCTCCCAGCAGGGTAGCTTTTCCTGGGATAACTGCGATGCAGGGAAGGACCCTGCGGTGATCAACAGCCTGACTCTGGAACCTGACCCCATTGCCATTCCGGGGAACTTGACCATCACTGCTGAGGCCAAGACCAGTGCTGTCCTCAGTGATCCTCTGAAGGTGAGCCCAGGGTCAGGGAGGCACTGGAAGGAAGGTGCTGTGGGCCAAGGGCAGGGCCCTGAGGCAGGTACACTCAGGGAACTTAATACTTTTGGAATCCTGGAATCCCAGAGTAGCAAAAACAACATAGATTTGTTTAAATGTCCTTTCATAAGTTTGCCTTTTGTATTTTTGTTTCAGAATAACCAGTTCATTCATGCCTGCTGCCTGTTTTGGGGGAGGCTATTTGTTTTCATACAAAACAACAGAGGCTTTCTGTGTATCCATGGCAATTCTATATATCATAGTCCTTTCCTCGTTGCTACCTTTATACCATATGCTTATATGCCTTCAGCCTGTCCTGGTGCAGACCTATTCTGGCACGTTTCCACTGGACTTTTTAAAAGGTTTTCTGATTTGGAATCTGTGTCCCTGAAACTGCCCTTTGACTTGGTTAATCACAGCCCCTACCTCATATGTTTCTGAGCTATTACTGAATTAGTAACATGGAGAGTGTTTTGCCCAGGGCCTGGCACACAGGACCAGTTCAGTACACATTCAGTCAGTTCAGTTCAGTCTCTCAGTCGTGTCTGACTCTTTGCGACTCCATGGACTGCAGCATGCCAGGCCTCCCTGTCCATCACCAACTCCCGGAGTTTACTCAAACTCATGTCCATTGAGTCAGTGATGCCATGCAACCATCTCATCCTCTGTTGTCCCCTTCTTCTCCTATCTTCAATCTTTCCCAGCATCAGGGTCTTTTCCAGTGAGTCAGTACTTCGAATCGGGTAGCCAAAGTACTGGAGTTTCAGCTTCAACATCAGTCCTTCCAATGAATATTCAGGACTGATTTCCTTTAGGATGGACTGGTTGGATCTCCTTGCTGTCCAAGGGACTCTCAAGAATCTTCTCCAACACCACAGTTCAAAAGCATCAATTCTTCACCTTTCAGCTTTCTTTATAGTCCAACTCGCACATCCATACATGACTACTGGAAAAACCATAGTCTTGACTAGACAGACTTTTGTCAGCAAAGTAATGTCTCTTCTTTTTAATATGCTGTCTAGGTTGGTCAAAACTTTTCTTCCAAGGAGTAAGCATCTTTTTATTTCATGGCTGCAATCACCATCTGCAGTGATTTTGGAGCCCCCCAAAATAAAGTCTGCCACTGTTTCCACTGTCTCTCCGTCTATTTGCCATGAAGTGATGGGATGGGATGCCATGATCTTAGTTTTCTGAATGTTGAGCTTTAAGCCAACTTTTTCACTCTGCTCTTTCACTTTCATCAAGAGGCTCTTTAGTTCTTCTTCACTTTCTGCCATAAGGGTTGTGTCATCTGCATATCTGAGGTTATTGGTATTTCTCCCAGCAATTTTGATTCCAGCTTGTGCTTCTTCCAGCCCAGCGTTTCTCATGATGTACTCTGCATATAAGTTAAATAAGCAGGGTGACAATATACAGCCTTGATGTACTCCTTTTCCTATTTAGAACCAGTCTGTTGTTCCATGTCCAGTTCTAACTGTTGCTTCCTGTCCTGCATACAGATTTCTCAAGAGGCAGGTCAGGTGGTCTGGTATTCCCATCTCTTTCAGAATTTTCCACAGTTTATTGTGATCCACACAGTCAAAGGCTTTGGTGTAGTCAATGAAGCAGAAATAGATGTTTTTCTGCAACTCTCTTGCTTTTTCGATGATCCAGTGCGTGTTGGCAAATTGATCTCTGGTTCCTCTGGCTTTTCTAAATCCAGTTTGAACATCTGGAAGTTCTCAGTTCATGTACTGTTGAAGCCTGGCTTGGAGAATTTTGAGCATTACTTTGCTAGCGTGTGAGATGAATGCAATTGTGCAGTAGTTTGAACATTCTTTGGCATTGCCTTTCTTTGGGACTGGAATGAAAACTGACTTTTTCCAGTCCAGTGCCATCGTGGTTATCTGGGTCAATAAAATCTTTTTTGTATTATTCTTCTTTGTATCCTTGCCACCTGTTCTGAATATCTTCTGGTTTTGTTAGGTCCATTCCATTTCTGTCGTTTATTGTGCCTATCTTTGCATGAAACAGTCCCTTGGTATCTCTAATTTTCTTGAAGAGATCTCTAGTCTTTCCCATTCTATTGTTTTCCTATTTCTTTGCATTGATCACTGAGGAAAGCTTTCTTATCTCTCTTTGCTATTCTTTGGAACTCTGCAATCAGATGGATATATCTTTCCTTTTCTTCTTTGCCTTTCACTTCTCTTCTTTTCTCAACTATGTGTAAGGCCTCCTCAGACAACCATTTTGCCTTTCTCATTTCTTTTTTTTGAGGATGGTTTTGATTACTGCCTCCTGTACAGTGTTGCTAACCTCCATCCATAGTTCTGTAGGCACTCTGTTAAATCTAATCCCTTGAATCTATTTGTCACTTCCACTGTATAATCATAAAGGATTTGATGGGCCTAGTGATTTTCCTCTGTGTTCTTCAATTTAAGTCTGAATTTTGTAATAAGGAGTTCATGGTCTGAACCACAGTCAGCTCCTGGTCTTGTTTTTGCTGACTGTATAGAGTGTCTCCATCTTCAGCTACAAAGAATATAATCAGTATGATAAACCTATAGTAAGTTGAAAACATCATAAGTCAAAAATGCATCTAATACACCCAAGCTACATAACATCAGAGCTTAGCTTCTCCTACCTTAGCTATTCTTGGAACATGTGTATTAGCCTATGGTTAGGCAAAGTCATCTAGTACCAAGTCTATTTTATGATATCGTCTTGCATATCTCATTCACCAATTCAATGGACATGAGTTTAAGTAAACACCAGGAGTTGGTGATGGACAGGGAGGCCTGGTGTGCTGCAGTCCATGGGGTCAGGAGTCGGACACGAGTAAGTGACTGAACTGAACTGATGGCATATCTCATATAATTTATTGAATACTGTACTGAAATGAAAGCCAGAATGGTTGTCTGGGTGCAGAATGATTTAAGTACATCAGCTTTTGTGATCACATGGCTGACTGGGAGCTGACTTCCTGCCACTGCTGAGCATCACAAGGAGAGAGAATAGTACTGTATATTGCTAGCCCTGAAAATGATCATATTCCAAAATGAGAAGTACAGTTCCTACTGAATGTGTATTTCTTCTGCACATTGTAAAGTCAAAAAACTTTAAGTTGAGCCATGGTAACTCTGTACTTTATTACCTGTCATAAATTTGGGCCATTGGACTTTTTAAAATTGGACTCAGATTCCCACTGTCCTTTCCCTTTCTCCTACGTTTCTCTTATATAATGTATATGCTTCTGATTTGGTTCCTTTATCTTTGCATAGGGTATAAGCATACTCCTTATTAAATGAAAGCCTCTCAGTACTTTTGTTGGAAAAAAGGTGATAAGCCTCTTTTTACAGATAAGGGACACTGAGGCTCAGAGAAGGATGTAACTTGCCCCAGGTCAAGGTTGGTGTCCTTATCTAATGTTTCCTTATTCTACTATTCTTTATTCTATTCCTTATTCCTTATTCTACTCTTTCTGGCAGGGAAGTAGAATTAGTGTTTGAAATTTAGTCCAGGGGAGTTCCCCAGGACTTTCCTCTTATCAGCAGAAACCCTGCCTAGGAGAGCTGCCCAGACTTAAGCCTGAAGGACTCTTAAGGTCAGTGACTTCCCTCCTTGTTACTGGGACCCAGAGAACAGTGACTGGTCCAGACTCTGCAGCCTACTAGTGGTAGGAGAGACACTTCCTTCTTGTCCTTGCTGAAGTAAAATTTCTTCAGTCAAAAGTTCCATTTGGAACCTGGATGAATTTGATGCCAACTGCTAGTCAAAGCTCTGGTTTTTCCAGTAGTCATGTATGTATGTGAGAGTAGGACTATAAAGAAAGCTGAGCACTGAAGAATTGATGCTTTTAAGCTGTGGTATTGAAGAAGACTCGAGAGTCCCTTGGACTGCAAGGAGATCCAACCAGTCCATCCTTAAGAAATCAGTCCTGAATATTCATTGTAAGGGCTGATGCTGAAGTTGAACCTTCAATACTTTGGCCACCTGATGTGAATTGACTCACTAGAAAAGACCCTGATGCTGGGAAAGATTGAAGGCAGGAGGAGAAGGGGACAACAGAGGATGAGATGGTTGGATGACATCACCGACTTGATGGACATGATTTTGAGTAAGCTCCAGGAGTTGGTGATGGACAGGGAAACCTGGCGTGCTGCAGTCCATGGAGTCGCAAATAGTCAGACACAACTGACTGAACTAACTTACTGCAATTTTTAGAAGTCAGATGCCCCAGATTCTGTGAGCCATGGGCAAGACTGGAGTCTGTCCAGGAATGCCTTTTTCTTTTGATATGTTCCACAGGGTTTGGCATAATTTAGAACTCCTTTCTTGGAGCTCTCAAGTTCCAGTGTGTGAGACCTTGGTTTCCCCATCCTCAGGAGTGGTAAATTGCCACCATATTTGGCATGTACACTTATTTCAGGCTTTTAGACACGTGGTGTTTAGGCCTGATGGGTTAGCTTTCTTCTCTCTCTAAAGTCTTGTACCTGCAGTGCCTCTGTCTGAGCCCTGTGTTTGAGGTGTAAGTGCCTCTCCCCAGTCTCATCAAATGGCCCCCCTTCAAGTCAGTGTGTCTCTACCTACAGCTGCTATCCCTGAGCTAGAAGAAACCAAGAGAAAAGTCATTGTTTTCAACTTGCAGGACACTTGACTCTTAGGATGTCATATCTGGTAGGTCTTTTCAAGATCATGACATCCAAACATTCCATGGCCAAAATGGAGCAGAAGCCTGAGAGGGGAAGGGACTTACCCAAGCACCCTGTTGGGTATGGAGATCCTGATTCCATTACCTGCCAGTGCCTCTGTCTCTCCTGCGTTGCCAGGTCCTGTGGTACAGGGGTTTATTTAGGTTGAGCTGTGGAGGTGCTAAGGAAGTCCTGGACTAGAGGGATTGATGGTCCCCTTATTGCTCAGCCTTGCTTGCTCTTTTTTTTTGGTCACGCTGGGTGTCTTGCAAGATCTTAGTTCCCCAACCAGGGACTGAACCCGGTGCATGACTGGAAAGCACCAAGTCCTAACCACTGGACCATCAGGGAACTCTCGTTGCTTTCTCTTCTGAGCCATATGAGCAGGTAGACTGAGAGCAAGGACTGGAAAATCAGTCATGGTTTGTGATCCCCCAATAGCAGTAGCAGGCTTGGTTTTTGCTTAAGTTCCAGGCGCCCCCACCAAGTACCTCCTGTGCTATGCTTGTCCTGGCTGGGGGACACCTAGCACCTGGTAGATGCAGCCCCATAGGCTTCCACTCCTGAAGGAGGAGCCCAGGCAGGACTTGGTCCCTGGTGGTCCCCTTACCTGGGTGTTCTTGTTCAGGGCAGAACTGGCTTAACCATTTTCATTGGGATGTTGGCAAAACCAGGAATGGTACTGACTAAGAGGAGAGAAGTCCCATAGGAAGGAATTTTTGGATTTCAGGCAGTGTGCTATTTGATAGGCATTGTGTCACTCAGTGGGACCCTGCGAGAGGCTGACACTCTATAAAGATCCCATTTTGTAGATGAGGGAATGGAGACAGAAGAAATTCCCCAAGGGTACCACACTAGGGCTTCCCTGGTGTCTCAGATGGTAAAGAATCCACCTGTAATACGGAAGACCTGGGTTCAATCCCCAGGCTGGGAAGATCCCCTGGAGGAGGGCATGGCAACCCACCCCAGTATTCTTGCCTGGAGAATCCCATAGACAGAGAATCCCATGGACCGAGGAGCCTGGTGGACTACAGTCCATAGGGTTTCAAAGAGTCAGACACAACTGAGCGACTAAGCACACACCATACTAGGAAGTGGCTGAAGTAGCATTCACTTCCGAGCCCTAGGCTCTTCTAGGCAAAGGGTTCACTGAAGCAGGCTTGGCAGGAGATGAGAGAGTTAGGCTGGGTGGGGGCTGTGTGTGACTGGGGGTGAGGGGTAATATGTGGGGCAGCAGAGCGGGAGTAGGCACGTTTGAGTCTGTCCACTCAGGATACACAGTGCATGGACTGCTCCGTCCTGGACCTGGGTCCTGACATGTGGCTGAGTCCAGAGCCTGGAGAGCCAGGCTGAGCCCTGCAGGCTCAAGGGAAATAAATGCCTGTCTAGGACTTGCCTCTTAGAAATGGAAGTCCTGGATCAAGTGAGCCTGGAGGCTGGGATTCATAGAATGCTGTGATGTTACAACTGTGAGTGATTTCCTGCCGTAACACCCACAGAGAATCAGACTTCTGTCCTTTGCTGACAGTTTTCTCTGATACCCTGGGGGTTAAGGGACAACTTGTTTGGCTCTTAGGCAGTTAGTACTTAGTGAATGCTTAGTGCATTCCAGGCACAACTGGTCAGCCCCAGCCTCCAGAAGGGGGGCAGAATCATGGTCGTGTGGAGGTGTGTAGCACTCGGAGGTCTCCTCACCCAGCTTCTCTCTGGGTGCAGGAAGTCCTCCAGCTTCCTCAACTGGGTCTAGGACCCCACCTCTTCCTGAAGTAGTTCCATCCCTTGTGACCTCACTAAGATTGTTAAGATCTTCCTCATACCAACCCCCAAAGTGATCTCCCTGTAAATTCTTATTGTTTTCAATTCTGTCTTCTATGGCTGCATGGAGGAAAGAGGATCTAGGAATAGCAAATAGGTTTCATCTTGGTAAGCAACTCTAGTCAGCTGGTGGTAGCTGCCTGAGGTCCTAGGAAGGAAAAGGTTCTGAAGCCAAGACTGGGCTCGGAAGGGAAGTCTAGAAGCAATGCCATAGTTAGCCAATTAGCAGTTACATGAAAGTGCATTTCACCTTCAACCAATGGATACTGCTGCTGCTGCTAAGTCGCTTCAGTCATGTCCAACTCTGTGCGACCCCACAGATGGCAGCCCACCAGGCTCCCCCATCCCTGGGATTCTCCAGGCAAGGACACTGGAGTGGGTTGCCATTTCCTTCTCCAATGCATGAAAGTGAAAAGGGAAAGAGAAGTCACTCAGTCGTATCCGACTCTTAGCGACCCCATGGACCACAGCCTACCAGGCTCCTCCGTCCATGGGATTTTCCAGGCAAGAGTACTGGAGTGGGTTGCCATTGCCTTCTCTGAACCAATGGATAGTACATACCTAAAGAATGCTAAGATGGTGTGTTCAGTGAAGGGGGAAAACAAAGTCACATTTGATTATTAATGGTCTGCTGTGGGCACAGGAAAGGATAATATTGGGGCGTGTGCCACAATATTGTCATTTCTGGATCAGAGTATTGCCAAGATCCCATCCAATTAAAAACTCTGTGTTAAAAGAAAATGCTGACCTCTGAAAGAGGCAGAGGAACTGGTTCATCTGCCTTGGAATTGTACATTTTCTCCAACTCTCTCACCAGGTGGAATTAACTGTGGAGAAGCACATAGCTGGCTTCTGGGTCAAAATCCCATGTGTGGACAACATTGGTAGCTGCACCTATGACAACTTCTGTAATATGCTTGAAATGTTAATTCCCATTGAGGAACCCTGCCCGGAACCACTGCACACCTATGGGCTTCCCTGTCACTGTCCCTTCAAAGAAGTAAGTACAGAGAGGGGAGAGCATTTCCGCATGACTGGAGTAGAGACATGGCACTGGGAGACATTCTCTTGCAGACCTGGACATCTGTGGGTGTAAATTGACCCGATTTATCCTGAATCACTTACCTTTTGGGGGCCTCGGTTTATCCATCTGTGAAATGGGAAACTTGATGCTCGATCTGACCTCCAGTGCCCTTCTGCTATCACATTCCATGCTTTACATGACCCTTAGGAGAGTGGGAAGAGGGGCAGTTTGCAGCTGCAAACTTAGAGGGCACTCCAGGAGAGAGTCCCGTCTGTAGGCTCCCACTGACCTGCAGTCCACTGGCTTTCCCACAGGGTGCCTACTCACTGCCCAAGTCTTACTTCATGCTGCCCGACCTGGAGTTGCCCAGCTGGCTCAGCACGGGGAACTACCGCCTGCAGACCATCCTGAGCAACAGCGGGAAGCGACTGGCTTGTGTCAATATCTCCGCCTCCCTTAAAGGCAAATAAGGTGGCACCTGCCACTGCAGAATGAAGAGGGTGTGAGGAAGGCATCCCCTTCCTCTGTCTTACGTTGGTCAAGGCTAGATTCTACTCTCTGTCCTTCCTCAAGCCCTTTTCTACAATGATGATGTTCCCCTGCTGAAAGTCATCTTATGCCACCTACAGAGTTTTTAACTGTGGGCCAGCAGCCCTGACCTAAGGGAGGGTGAGCCTGGTGGTTTTTGACAGCCCAGGACACCTACTGGGGTGGCTGCTGCACTTTCAGCCTCACTCCTTTTCTAAACTCATTTTCTAAAGAGGCTAACATGTTTTATGACCCCCACGTTCAGAGTGACCCAATCTTGGTCTCCGGAAGTACCTTTATGATTTTTCTCATTGATTTTTTATGTGTGTCACTGACCTAAAAGCAGAGTGAAAGTACTAACAGTTTTCATTTTACTTCCACTCCCTCTTACAAGGAAGGGTCTGAAGGAGATGATCTAAATCTATTCCTCTGTTAACTTCTATAATTTAGTGTTCTTTTTCTAGACTTGCCCAGTTAACAGTGGGGTATAGTGTATCCTGGAGAGGCAGGGCATGTGGAAGAACAACTGAGAATGCTTTGTGTATTTAAGAGAGTCTGCCAATTCAGGTGCTTTCAGGGCAAAGCGTGGGGCATCCGTGAGTGATGAGGGCCACGAGAAGCATGTTGTTTCCAGGCATATCTTGCCTTTGTACAACAGCACTAATCTAAGGCAGCTGCTGCCCCATCTCGGGCTGGGGCTCTAATCAGGGATATGGAGGCTGGGCTGAGCTGGAAAGGGTACTTCCAGTCTGTAGGGGCAGTTGATGTCCAGTTATTGCCAGTGAGTTCCACAGGAGACTGTGGGCCCAGCATTACCAAATATTCTCAACATTTTTCCCCTCAAGAGGCCAGAAATCCAGGCTTTTATATGACATCCATTTTTAAATATTGACAGTGAATTTTTTTTTTAAACACTGCACAGGCAGAAGGGGCCAAACAGACTTGTCAGTAGGAAAATCTGGCTCATGCGAGGCCAGTTCGTGGCCTTGGATGTAAGAACACGCATGCCTTGTCCTTTTAACCTTGAGACAACTCCAGCACTGTTTCTCCTTCTGTGGGGCCGAGTCCATAGTGCCTGAGCCGGCAGGCTCCTCTGATGCTGGGGGAGTGAGGTGGCCTCAGAGCTAGGAGCTCAGGACCTCCTGCCCTGGCCCAGAGTGTTGTCAGGGTGAGGGAGGCAGAGCCTGAAGAGGTGGCCCCACCAGCAGCCATTCTGTGGAGCAGGGATCCATGATGAGAGGTGGACTTATATCAGGTGCCTGGGTTTATTCATCATCCTGTCCTCCTATGACCAGCCTCAGGTTCGGGGCTCACACGAAGCCTGGAATGGTAATAAATCTTTTTGACTTGCTGAGAATTCCTGCTTTGTTGTGGCTGCATATTTTTTCCCACTGATCACATCTCAGGATTTCCAGAGCTCGTGTACTGGGTTGTTCTGCTGGAAGTTTATAGCAGCGGGACGAGAGCTGAAGCAATGCCAGGGATTGACTCTTCTGTTTCTGTCTTGTGTGCTGCTTAGTACCTCTGCTTCGTCCTGTCCCAGCACCACCCAGCTTCCTCGTTTGCTTTTTTGACCTGCCCCCTCACAGTATGGCCTCTCCAGCCTTTATTTCCCCTCCTGGATCTTTGGGTGTTATTCTCACAGACATACTTCAGTTCACATCCTTGCACGGAAGGATGTTCAGTAGCTTGGTTAGTCTTTGTGTGTGCTGTGTTTTCGGCTCAGATGCTACTCCAAGTCTTGTTGAGGGGTGGCGAATGGTGAGAATCTCAAATCTCAGAGCAAAGTGAACTTTTTAACAATGGTGCTGAGCCAAATGGAAAGCCCTTTGGAAAAAAGTTGAAGTTGTATCCATACTTAATGCCATAGGAAAGAATAAACCTCAAATGAGTCCAGGGTCTAAGTATTAAAAATGAAACCATACAAATACTAAAAAGAAACATGGGTGAAATGTCCAGAGAAAATAAACACTGATAAAGTTGACTGCATAAGAAATAATGTGCTTGGCAAGAGACACAGTCAAAAGACTGGAAGAAAATATTTATAGCACATAACATAGACAAAAGGTTAATAATATTCCTATTATAAAGAATGAAGTATCAAGGGATCAAAAACCTGATAGAAAAATTGTGAAAATAAATGAACAGATAAACTCTCACATAAAGATATAAAAGTGACCCTTAAACATAATAAGATATATAAACTCACTTCAAAATCAGAAAAATGTAAATTGAAACAATATTAACATAACATTTGTCAATTTCTTGGGTTGGTCAGAACACACTACCACAAACCATTAGGCAGGGCTGTGTGGAAAAAGGTCCCCTCAAACATAACTGGTAGGAATACAGACTGGTTCAGTCCTTCATGAGGGGAATTTGTCAGTGTTACTGTTCATGTAGGCTTCCCTGGTGGCTCAGAAGGTAAAGAACCCACCTGCAATGCAGGAAAACCAGGTTCAATCGCTGCGTCAGGAAAACCCCCTGGAGAAGGGAATGGTAACCCACTCCAGTATTCTTGCCTGGAGAATCCCATAAACAGAGGAGCTTGATGGGCTACAGTCCAAGGGTTGCAAAGAGTTGGACACGACTGAGTGACTAAACACACGCACACTGTTCATGTAAGAAAAATATACATGTGTCTGCTTATATGTACATGAGGAAAAATGAGCTGGAAGGTTATTTACAGAGAGCGGAAAGAAGAGGGAAATGATAACAGGGTATAAAGGATGAAGAGGATGCGATGCTTTTGAGTATATCTTGTTGTATATCTGACTCTTAGAACCATAATAATGTTTCTGAGTCCAAAATCATAGAAAAAGCAGGAGATAAGGGAAATTCAACATGGAATATAAACAGTAACAAAATATATTTCAAATGAATAATACAACAACACTGAAGTGGGTGGGAAAACGAAGTTATAGTATTTTGATGGGGTACTGTAAAGCAACAGAAAAAAGGAACTGCATACAAATACTGTGTATACTATAGTTTGTTTTTCACAGGAATAGCATTAGCAATTCTAAAAGTATTTCCTGTGTATATTAGGACTGAGAAAATAAATATGGATAATGAGAGCATGGGGCATACTGAAAGGACACAGGAACCAACTGGAGGGAGCTCTCAGTGGCCAAGTCTTGGGCAACTTGAGCAAGAAAATAAATAATGACAGTAATAGGTTATAATCCTTTGAATGAAAACAAACATCCATGAGTCTGTATACAACGGAATCCCAACTAAATGTAGAAGGAATGGTATTAATAGGAAAAAATCATTAGGTAAATGCCACTGTCAGAATTGCTGCAGATAAGGAACATCTATGGATGCTAAAATTATTGGATAAACATATAATGAGGCACAGGATTTTGCACAGTCTCACGATATCTCCTCACAGGATACAATTACAAAGGGGGAAATGTAATGGTGGAGAAACCTGGCAGACAGCACTTACAAGTGATCCAAGTTAACATCACCAGCAAGTAATGATGTCATGCACCTCCCAATCTGGTGCACTGATAAAGGACAGTGACACTTCTCTGGTGTTGCCCAAAATGTGTAATCTCAACTTTATCACAAGAAAGATCACACAAACCTAAATTGAGAAACACTACAAAAGAACTGGCCAGTCCTCTTCAAAAATGTCAGGGCCACGAACAGTAAGGAAAGACTAAGGAGCAGTCACAGATCAGAAGAGAATAGGAACTGTGAGATCTCGGATTAGATGCTGGATTAAAAAAAGAATCAGAAATAGGATTTCACCAGGGTTAACTATTTAGGTTTAATAATTGTGCTATGTTTGGGTAAGATGTTAACATTAGTGAAAGTTAGGTGATTTAAAGTTCTTTCAAAATAAAAAAGCTATGACAAACCTAGACAGCATATTGAAAATCAGAGACATCACTTTGCTGACAAAGGTCCATATAGTCAAAGCTATGGTTTTTCCAGTAGTCATGTATGAATGTGAGAGTTGGATCATAAAGAAGGCTGAGTGCCGAAGAACTGATGCTTTCAAACTGTGGTGTTAGAGAAGACTTTTGAGAGTCCTTGAACAGGAAGGAGATCAAACCAGTCAATCCTAAAAGAAATCTACCCTGAATATTCATTGGAAGGACTGATGCTGAAGCTGAAGCTGAAGCTCCAATACTTCAGCCACCTGATGCGAAGAGCCGACTAATTGGAAAAGACCCTGATGCTGGGAAAGATTGAGGGCAAGAGAAGAGGGTGACAGAGGATGAGGTGGTGCGATGGCATCATTGACTCAGTGGACATGAGTTTGAGCAAACTCTGGGAGATAGTGAAGGACAGGGAAGCCTAGAGTGCTGCAGTTTATGGGGTCACAAAGACACACAACTTAGTGACTGAACAACAGTAACAACAATAAGATAAAAAGTTGTAAAAATATATTGCAGAAGTTTCTCCATGACAACTGAGAAGTGTTACAAAATAGAAGCTTATCAGGGCTTGCAGAGTCTGGGTCAGTGGGTGAAGTCAGGGAGGGTTTTCCTGAGGAAGTGATAACAGATCTGACAAATGAGTAGAAGTTAAGCAGGTAGAGACAGGAGGAAAGAGTTCTAAGTGGAGGACACAGTATATGTATAGGCCCTGCAGCAAGGTGAAGCTGCTTTCTGGAGACTGGACAGAGGTGGGTGCAGCTGGAGGGAAAAGGTGCCAGAAGAAGCAAGAGAGGTAGGGGAAGAGCAGATCACAGGGCCTGTGGTTCACGTGTGAGTCTCCCTGACCAGCAAGTCCAACTTTTAAAGTTATGGTCCACTTGAATATTTTTCCTTAAGAGGGTCATATCACTGTAATTTCACTTCCAAGAGGTGTAAGCATGTCAGAGGTTCTGCTCTCCCCACTGCCCAGGCTTTTTTTTTTTAACCTTTAATCTTAGACCAGGGAATTGCTTGAGGGGATCCTATGTGAGTTTGAGTTAGGCACTGTG